GAGGTTGGAGCGTGGCCTGCATGCTTTGTTGTCAGAGGGAAAAAAATCGAAGTGACAGCTAGCACCTCGTGAAAATAAAAGTTTACAGTTTGTATTACGGGGCGGACTAAGCAGCAAACCACGTCACTAAACACAGCTTAAACACTTGTCGGACTACTTATTAGCCAATTAGTAAGCAAAGTATAAACTAGTCATTTCTGGTTGATTAGGGGGTAATCGTGATTGGTATGTTCATGTACTAATGCGTATGAGTCCCGGGGTGTCAACTCGGTGCATTGGAACTCAACATTACATGTTACAAGTTAGTAAAAGGAGTGAATTTGTCGGTTGTTTGACTGGCATGTATGGGTGATTGCTAAAATGATTCTACGTCTACAGCTTTTTTCCGTTGGTGGTATCATGGTAAACCCGTCGATTTTTGGGCGGGTTTACCATACAGTGCGCGCGGAAATGATAGGCGACAAATTGGTTTTTCAAATAATTTCTTCCAATCATTAAGTATAGAGATCTGATTTTCTACCAGTACGCAGCACACGATTGATCATTTTGAGGGGTCATTCGTTTCCAACAGATGTTTGAGTGCCGTGCTACAGTCAAGAACCTGCATTTTTTGGAATGTACCAAGCGCGAAAAAGATAGACGAACCGCGTACAACCGTCTTCAAGAGCTCGCTGTGTCTTAGCTAAGCTATATAGTGGATAGATATCAACAATTTAGGGCTTTGTCTTGAGTCCTTTAAGTCGGTAGACCTCCATGCAGCGTTTTTTCATCGACCCCACAAGGTTTTCCAGCGTAGAGGTGGGAATGTCGTCCCACGCCTTCTTAATCGACTTTACGAGCTCCGCCTTGGTTTCATACTGCTTACCCGGTCCACGCTAGGATTCCCCACAAATTTTCGATCGAATTCAAGTCCGGAGACTTGGCTGGCCACCACATACGCACACATTTTGCTCCTCCAAATACCACTTCGCAGCCCTGGCAGTGTGAATGGAGGCGTTACCATGCTGAGATTGGAAGTTAAGACGGTGATATAGGTGCGCAAACGGGGACAGATAGGCACCCAACGTGTCGATGTACTTCTCCGTGTTCTGCTTGCCCTTCAGAAACGCCAGCTTCGACTTGCCCTTCACGCTGAAGGCACCCCCACACAAACACGCTCCGCCACCAGACTGCCGGTTAGAGTAAATATGTTTCGCCTTCCTAAGATCTCTCCAATAGTGCTGACAGCCATCAGGTCCATCCAAGTTAAACTTTTTCTCATCCGAGAACACTACGGAGTTCCATTTGTGACCGTGTTCGACAAACGCATTGACCCACTTCAACCTGGCCACGATGTGCTACGGCTTGAGCACTGGGCACGCTAAGCGCTTCTCGTGCACCACGTTTTCTGAGTCGTGCAGCACCTCCTGAGCCCTTCGAACAGATATCGGTAGCTGCAACGAATCTATGAGCGTTCTAGCGCTCTTTCCCGTCTTCGATGCCTCACGTAGAAGCCGGCGCTCGGCCGCTACTCCTAGCATTTTGGGCCTTCCCGTGCTCTTTTTCGAGCCGTACGCCGCGGGATTGGACAGAAACTTGTTCACGACATTCCACGAGCGACCCACACGCTTAGCAATAGCGTTAGCAGACAGATTTCCCTCTGAATAGGCCAAAATCTGGCCCTTCTCGATGTCCGTCCCTCCCCATCTATAAACAGCAAAATTCTATACACCATTAACATCAGAGTTCTCGTTAGACCCTCCTGTAACAGTACGAAATAAGTGCAACGCGTCAAACAACACTAGAACGATGAAATCGATGGCAATACTTACTTCACCTATCTTTTTCGCGCCTGGTGAGAACTGATCTGAGCAGATTTTGAAGTGCTGCTCGGCGCTCAAGTGTCGGATTTGAGCAAGTGAGGCCGCAACCGAACCGCAATAATTTTGTTTTGATTGGATGAAACGCTTAGGTTGAATGCACTTGATTTGTTAAAATTATCCAAAATATCAGTTTTTCTCCTATCATTTCCGCGTGTACTGTAACAGCACCACCGTAACTTCGCACTTACCCTTGTGACTCGCGTTATTGAGAAAGCTCGGGTTGTTCCCAGACATTAGCAAATCAGGACTACAAATTGACCTCCTCTCTTCTTTCCTTCTTGATTAATGCCGTGTTTTACAGGGGAAACACTGGGTTCCAGTCTAGTTTATTGTTGGTATTGCTGCAGGCCTAGCAACAACTTGTAAATGGTACTTGTCCGAGTATTGACAAGTACTACTTACAGTAAGTATTTCGTCCTTTTCTACACATAATACCCCTAGCCGATGCCTGGTGAAAAATAAATACCCACAATCCTTGCTGACAATTTGTTTTTCACCAGATGCCTTTTTCTCCAAACGTTTCTAAATAACAACGCTACAAGAAAAACAAAACTCGTTAGGTGCTCAAATTGGCTTTTGTTATTGCGCCTTTATTACAACGGCACAATAGAATCTTAGCTCATTTTTTTTGAGTTACAGTACATTAAAGTAATACCCCTTTCGCGATAAAGGAAGCAGAATGCCGCCTTTTCCTGGTTTTCAACTAAGTACGACGATGTATCCTCGTCAAAGGAGGCACAATGACTCCTTTGATATTTACACTCATCCCTTAGTTGTCTAAATGAGCTTGCTATACTTACAACTCGCGATCTCACGTTACCTCTTTGAGACGTCATACCACTGAATTTGAAGGGGATAAAAGGCTGACAAGAAAGATACGATAGCATAAAGTATCAGCCTTCCATGTGCCCCAAAGTTGTTTACTATTAACGTTTGCACCGCCTTACATGATGTATTCTTAAAAAATAATGGCACCTGTGTCTATGCTAATGTCGTCGTGGTGTGAGTGCGATCGATGCCACCAAAAAAACCCACTTCGAAATCAAAACCGGTGAAAACAAAAAAAAAAAAGCAATCTACTGCTACAACAAATTACACACAAAACGAAGTAGAGATTTTTTGTCGTGGTGATAATCAATCTTGTCTAGTCGATCTTGTCTTACTGCTGCAAAACGTCAGAATGGATCTCGATACAACTTGCAAAGCGATCATGCGGAGGTAGTTTTTCGAAACAATTGTGCGTAATGTATCATAATTTTTTTAGTCGCAGCAACATCCTGTAATCTGTGGCCACATTTGACAAGCTCTAAAACCCATTTAGCTCGTTGATTTCTGCATGAGCCTGTGCAAGGATCAACACCCCACAACTTGATGTGTTGGATTGTCTTGGGTTTCGCAACCGTTTCTTTTACACGTGGGGAAAGAGAGCGAAGAGCGAGCCGCCCATGTGACATACGTACTTTGGTATTCCAATCCGCAATTTGTGGGATCTGCAGTCTCTGAGCTACGTAGGTGTAGCTTTTCGAATGCTTGAAATGCGAGACGTGCGCAAGAGTAACTTTTGAATACAGTTACTGAACGGTGTCGTGATTCTCTTGCCTATAGTATACTAAGCAAGACTAGATCATTTGTTTCTATAAGGTGGTATTTTTCGCCCTTTTACAATTTCACGGTACGAATCATACTGTATATTCTCTGTTGCACCATATCAGTTGGACTTTGTAAAAGGGCTCATTTTTGGCCCTTCTAGTAACTGATTCCTAGATTGGTTTGTACAAACCACTTAAAGGGCAAAACACGCACCTTTGCAGTGCGAAAGGGTTAATGAACAGCTACATTAGATATACAAAGCGCGTCGAAACTATATACGCACTCGAAATTGTCGATTTCTTTGCTAGTACTGGGAACTATGCATCAAGCTCAAGGCTAAAATACGTGATGAACAATGGTAAAACAACCCAGAAAGTCTGAATGGACAAGCAGTATTTTTTCTTTCGCAGTCGAAAATAAAACCTTAAGAGGTTGCGTCAACATTATATGCGCACAATGTAAAATTTTAAATAAGAAAAGATGGAGGAGTTAGTTTTGTTAATAGTTGAGTCTACGCAGAAGACCGCAAAAAATACTGATGCCGCGAGGGAGGCTTTTGACCGTGGCCGAGTGTGAGCGCATCAAAGTCTACAAGGAAGAGAAACTAAGCAGCCGCGAGATAGCTAGACGTCTTAAACGCGCTGAGGTGGCCATAAGGAACTTCCTGAAGAAGGCAACAGGCTCTCAGGAGTCCAATAAAGTCGGCAGATGATCGATTATTAACACGAGAGGCGCCAGACAGATTTTTCGACTCGGTGAAACTCGAAGCCATCCTGTAAGATGATTGCAGAACGGTTACCAAGCCGTCCTAGTGTCTACAAGTGCTACGCAAGTGTCGCTATGCCAAGTACTCAAAGTGAAAACCTGTGCCAGCTCTGAAGCCACCTCACAAGGTGGTCAGAGTAAAATTTGCAATAAATTTGCATATTCTAGCAAATATTGGAGACGCGTAGTGTTTACTGACGAAAAGAAATTTAATTTAGACGGCCTATATGGGTACCGTTGTTACTGGCACGACACCAGAGTGGCGCCCAAGTTGATGTCCAAGCGTGTGAACGGCGGGGGAAGCGTCATGATTTGGGCGGGCGTGTCAATGTACGGCAACACTTAGGTAGTTTTCCTGGAGGGAAGACAAAATGCTACTAAGTTCACGGAAACACTGCGCAGAAATTTGTTACATTACCTGAGCAAATTTCGCCTCAAATTGGGCAATTCAGAGCCCATTCCCAGGATAATGCATCTATCCACGCCGCAAGACTCACGAAGAGCTTTCTAAAGACAAACAACGTTACAACAATGGCGTGGCCCACCAAGAGCCCCAATTTCAGCATCATCGAGAACGTATGGGGAGTGCTGGCGGGTCGGGTGTACGCAAATGGGCGTTAGTTTGAAAGTAATGCCGAATTAAAGGCTTGCATCAAGGCTGAGTGGGCTGGTATTGAGCCCGATTACATCAAGAAGCTAGTGAAGAGTATGCCAAAGCGTTTGCACCTGGCAATGGCTCTAAAAGACGCTACAACTCACTATTAGCAATTGTGATATGCGCATCTAATGTTAACGCGACCTCTTAAGGTTTTATTTTCGACTGCGAAAGAAAAAATACTGCTTGTCCATTCATGCTTTCTGGGTTGTTTTACCATTGTTCATCACGTATTTTAGCCTTGAGCTTGATGCAAAGTTCCCAGTACTAGCAAAGAAATCGACAATTTTCGAGTGCGTATATAGTTTCGACGCGCACTGTACTTTGAAGAATGCAAATTCAAGGTGACTAAGTTCAACTACTTTTGAGGCACGCTTGGTCTGTAGCCAGGCGATGGTAAGTCCTATTTGCAGGCGCTGGAAGGACCACTCGGGCAGATTCATTCTGTGTTTTGGTGTTCTAACCCTCCCGGCGTGATTGTCTAGGTCAGGCCCATTCGTGTGTTTTTAACGTTTTCTCGACGAAAATTCGAGGTTTGAACGAAGGGAAAACTTTGCTTGTTGCCCCATGGGCCGTGACGACATGTCATGTCACGTCAGGAATGTACAAATATGTTGTGGTGTGCAGCAACTTGTGTACACCACGCCACAGTACGCTGATGAACTGCTTGTGTGGACCATACCATGTGACAGCCTAGAGTTTCAGCCACATTTGTGTCGACGACAAGGGAGACAACAAGCTGGTGACGCGCATAGTACACGTTATCTACGCTCATACCACCAAGGTGGATTCAGTACAACTTTAATGGGTCGAGCAAGATCCTGGTCAATAGCAGCAGGGATGGCATGTTGCGGCCTCGGGAGACTGAGGCTACGGCGCCGCCGAGATCGCTGGGTCAGTACAGAACTTGAGGGCACCCGAGGAAGGCGCGCTGGTGCTTGGGCACTGGATGCGACCGCAAGTACTTTGTGGGGAGGACGAGTCATGCAGACGCTAATGGGACGTAAGGGCAACGTGCTGGCGGCCCAATTCTCACTCATGCCATCGCACAAAGTGATCACGGATTGTCCAACTGAAGTATACGTGTTTGGAACGCCATGCTCGAGGTGTGCGGCTGAAGTCGGTGACTTGTGTGTCGAGCTGTAACGACATCGCATCTCCGTTGGGAACAGATGCAGATTTCGTGTAGTATCCAGCGCACATCAGGAAGGTCGATGCGCTTCTGCGAAGAAGAACAAGACACTGCGTCCTGGAGCTGCTCCGGATGTATTCTGAACAGGCCACGTCCGTGAGTTTTGGCGGAAACGAGCTGCTAATGAATTCCAGAGACCACTCGCTACGTGTTGGTGATACGCGCGATTATAAGGTGCTGAGAGAGCAGCGTCACAAAGATAATCGATGTGGCTTCGTTAGGTTCCAGGCATCGCTACATCCGGATGGCCAATATGCTCTGGACAGGTGTTTTTATAGTTTATTCATCGGCAGTGATTGAAAGACGCGTTCACGGCTGGCTGTGCACTTGCGTGTGGTCCTCATTGATCAATATGACTAAGATGTTGTAGCTAAATGACGCTAGATCAATGCTGTTGATGCCATCAAACGTTTTTGTTTTTAATGTCCTATGGTTAATGCTACACCTAATGAATTGTTGTTGAAGAAAGAAAAAGAATATGTTGTTGGAGAAAGTGAGCGCTAAGAATCATAAAACGACAGGCAAACCAAACGCTCCATATTTGTACATCACAGCAAGGCCCACTCCAACGTTTTATTCAGTCCTGGAAAAGCACTTTCAACATCCGAGTCAGTGGCCAGCAACATTTCCAACTCCATGTGTTCATGATCCGTATTCACGTCAGTGGTGAAGAGTGGTATAGCGATTTCTAAGTAATCGCTGAAGTGGCTGCATTTAAGTTGCTAAAGCCACGAACGCTCGGTCATGCGACAGGCGGTGGCCACAGTGCAAGATGACCAATGATACATCACTACCGAACGCTCGTCGGGTCCCACTATGACCAAGATGTCATTCAAGTCGGGAGGTCCGTATCGGTGAAGCTAGATTCACATTCAGCGGTCAAGAACTAACGAACTACGGTACTTCGACTTGGTGACGGTTCGAGCGACTCTTCGATGGGTGCAACTAGCAGTTGAACGACCTGAGAAGACGCAAGAACAGCTGAGGTAACGGTTGGCACAAGTAGCGATCCATAACGGATAATAGTTCACTTGATATTTGTATACATGATTAGGATTGCATATTAGGAAGAGCCCGAAAGGGCATAACGAATAACAGAACAGAATTTCCACTCAAGCACACGAGCGAGGTCCGGCTTCAAGGTAAGCGTCTGGATAAGCTTGTTTGGGTGTGTTATG